ATCATACAAGATTTTGACTAAACATTGACTCAACTTATATGGTTGGAAATTATTCATCTTAATTGAGAAGTTGAGAAAAGGACATAGGCGTACATGCGCACGCGCCGTCGCCGCCGCCGGCCGGGCCGGGGCGAGGCGCGGGCCAGGCCGAGGCCGTGCCGAGGCGGGCGGGCGTGGCTAGTCTTTGCCACTTAATCCTGCCTTTCTCCCTTCCCGTCGCAGCCATATATCAGGAGTCATCCGTCAGTCCAGCCCTCTGGCTTCCCCGTCCCTACCTCTGCGCGCACGGAGTAGCGGGAGAGCAAGTGCCTCTGAAACCCTCGTCTGCCTGAGAACCTTGCATGGGGTGTACGGCGATTAGATTTTTGGGGAGTGATCCGTGACTGCTCGTCTACGTACGCCTTCTTCCTGGTGGTGATCGCTCTGGAACCCGTCTTCTTCCTGGCGTTGCCTGCGGAACAACAAGGTGTCTTCTTCCTAGTGATCCGTTCGTGGGACTGCACTGCGAACATCGTCCTGCACCGACTGTAGTCCGCGACTTTGAGCAACGCACTATGTCAATTAGTGCGAATGGAGCCTCCGATGCCCTCGGCATGGGACCCTCCGTTGGGTACAATCTAATCTCTGTGATTACTGTATTTATCTGTATGTCATCTCTGTATGGTGTAGCGTTCGTTACAAATATACACATACATATATGCCGTCACGAACCTGGTGATATTATATTTCTGGATTAAATTAATCATCAAAATGCCTAAATTTCTAACGAGGCCACAAGCCTCTGTTCCCCACAAGAACGATTCGCGCGCAGTCCTTCTCCTTCCTTCGCGCACTCCTCGGAGCTCCTGCTTTGGACTCGGCCATGGCGGATGCACGACTGCACTACTCCAGGCGACTCCTGCTACACCTGCAGGGGCCGTCCGCGTGCCCGTCGCCCATCCTCACGTGCGGCCTCGTCGCGGCGCTCACGTTCCGCCTCGTGCTCTAGTGCGCGCTCCGCGTCACGCGCGACGCGTGCTGCGGCGGAACCGACGCGCAGGACGACGACGACGACCTCGAGGAGCAGGAGCAGGAGCAAGAGCAGCAGCACGCGGGCGGAGGCGCGGGGCCGGCGCAGCAGCTGCAGGCCGCGGCAGCGCAGCACGGGCACGGGAGGAAGCAGCCGCGGCGGCTCCCGGCGCTGGTGCAGGCGCTGCCGTGCCTGGCGTTCTTGGCGGGGCTGGAGCTGGCCGGGTCATCGCGGTCGGAGTGCGCCATCTGCCTCGCCGAGTTCGCGCGCGGGTAGGCGGTGCGCGTGCTGCTGCACTGCAACCACGGCTTCCACGCGCGCTGCATTGACCGCTGGCTCGCGGCGCGGCCGACGTGCCCCACCTGCAGACAGGCGCCGTTTGCCGAGCCCACCGCGTTTCTGTAGCCAGACAGCTCTGGCCTCTGGGCAGCGTCGTGCTTGCGGAGCCCGTATCACTTGGCGATCGCGTGCATGGCCCGCCTTGTGCTTGTGGATCCCATATCACTTCCACTTGGCGTGATCGTTAGCGGTGTTTGTACATTAGCAGTGTGCTAACGGAATATTGGCAGCGTGTTACATGGTTTGAGACCTTGTGAGTAGAATATATCGGTGGTCTTAAATTTGAGAGGCAATGTCATTCAGATACTAAAGTTTTATTTTTGATTTCTAGGTCCCAATTTGTCTCGGGCTTCAATATTAGTCCATATAGGTTTTAACTCCCTCTCTGATTCGAATATGGCATGTTGGGTTCAGTAACTACACTTGCATAGTAGTGTCAGTTAGGTAAGTTTCAAAACTTGCTACACGAGATACTAAACTTGCACGTTCGTGCTGTATAGGTTGATAACTTCCAAAAGTACATATCTAAGTCCCAAACTTATTAACCGGGCCATATGATGTCTAAATTATTGTTGTTTGCGATAAACCGCTTGCATGCCCACATTCATCCCTCTCTCATCTCTTTCCCCATTCCCTCCTGTGTAGGCCCCCATGTCATCCATTTATCTCATCTCCTTCACCACTCCCCTCATGTGCTAAAGCAATTTCTCCCCCTACTACCACCATCCCCTCCCCTTGCTAAGAACAATCTTTGTTCTAAAGCAATTCCTTCCTTTAATCTCTCTTTTCTCTTCTCAATTCTTCCCCCCAAATTCCCCTAAAAAAGTTCAACATGTCGTCTTCCGCTCACCAGATTGGCAGTAGAACCCCTTGCTGCCGCCGCTTTTTTCCTTCCATTAGAGGGCCAACCCTAGTGCAGCCGCCCTTTTCCCTCTACTCTCCCCCAACCCCCCCCCAATTCTACCTCTAGTTTAGGCGGGTGACAAGACGCAAAAAGGCAAAAACGAAGAGAAAGGACAAAAGATAAAAAAACATATAAGTATTCTATTTCATTGGACGCTCTCAGTCGACTTAGCCTTGTATATGCCTTCAATGGTTCATGATCCTTTATATTTTATAGGATAGGTGGACTTATCCCAAGGTGATCGAAACTCTCACCAAATCCCCATGCAAAAATATAATTTGAACTCGGTTTTAAGTCGTCAAAACCCTTAACCAGAATAGCCGGTTTTGAAAACCGGTTTCCACGAGGTTGATCTTCCTGAATACATAAATTTAGATTTCTATATATTCATTTCATTAGTAACATGTGCAATAGAGTCACTCCAATGCGCACCAAATCAACCAAGTCCACGGTGCAATGCAAATTCACTCCAATGCGCGTCGCGTAGTATGTGCCTGGAAATGTGGTTTTTTTTTATCACAAAGCACCACGTGCATTGCACTCCATGCCTCGTCAAAATCGCCAGATTCAAGGTTCATTGCATACGCATGGCACTTGGCTCATTAACAGTCCAACGCATAAGCTCCATAGAGAGTTAAAATCTGCAACCTTATAACAGGATCCATTATATATCGCGACAACAAACAAGATAACTCTGATTGCAAAATGTCTTGTATCTGAAACACCGGAGCACCAATTCGGTCTATGAAATCCGTCTCTAATAAGATTCGTGACATGCCTAATCGTGCTGCATAAAGAACGCTCTTGTAAGCAGCGATCGCTTCAACAATATGCAAGGCTGATGAAGCATTAACGAATGTTCCCTGCCCCAGCCGCAAGCACGAAATGTACTGGGTCCATAAGCTCTGATCAATCATTACTCTGATCAATCATTGATCCAAGTGATGTTGGGCCCTTTCGGCCTTTCCCCAACTGAGTGAGTGGGCCCAGCAAAAGGCCACTTCATCGGGCCATCGGACACGCCGAATCCTCCGTGCAGTGCGAGAAGTCGATGCTCCCCGAGAAAAATTGTCGCGTCAGCACTCAGCCGGCAGCGACGGACCAGCTGGCCGTAGCAGTAGCCGCCTAGCCGGCGGCCGCTAGGCGCCGGCGTTGCCAAATTCTACGCTGGCCCTACCACTTTGGGCACCGAAAGTTCCCTGCGACGGCGACGGCTAGGCCGGACTGGTGGAGCCTTTCGGAATGGCCGAATCATCAGGCCGGACCGCGGGCCCAGATACAGAGACGAGTCCTGCACGTCTCAAGCTGCGGGTCCGCTCCGACGTGTCGATCGAGAACAACACGTGCCGATTCCTTAGCGTTACTACGTGGATACAAGCGGCTTGTGGGAGCAAAAGGCACGGGACCGGTCCCCGCGGCCCGTCAGGCCGTCACGCTCGCAGCACCGGCCGTTTTCTACGGGCGGTGCAGTAGACGCACCCTTCGACGGCGGCGGCGTGTGGTATAAACCCCCCGCCCGTCACGCCGCCCCGTCCGTGCGTTTCCTTTTGTCTCGCTTGCTTGCTTCCTTTCGAGTCCTTGCGGTCACTGCTCGCCGATCGAGTTTCTCCGGATTCCAGACAGGCCCAAGCGATCGCCGCACCTCTTCGAGCAGGTGATTCTCTCCCTCTTGCTCTTCTCTTCGATCTCAAGTTGTCTGCGGAATCGTACTAGTTTTTATCCCCCGACAGATCGCCTCGCTCACCAGTCACCAGGCCTCCGATTGGTGGTGTCTGGTAACTTTTTTTTGGGTGGTTTCTGCGTCTGGCGCTGCTGATTTTCCGTGGTTTTGTTTGGTTTGTGGCGATTTCCTTGGAGGGCAAAGGAATTCGCTGGGATAGTAGGATTATGCTAAGGCTTGCTGTAGGCTATGGTAGGATTATGCTATGGCGCCGTGCCACCGATCGACCCACCGTCAGTCCGTCAGTACTGACTACTGAAACACTACTAGTAGGTTCACCCGCTGCCAGTGGTGTCGCCTATGGTAGGATTATTTTTTTGAAACAACAGCCTACGAATTAACCGGCTACTGAAATACGTATCTTGTAGCTCTTCGTATTGTTACTCCCTGCCCAAAACCAAGAAATCAGGATTGACTTCAAATCGTAGAAACCGCTGCTATGGAGCTTTTCGGTTCCCCGTCGATCTCTAGTTGCCTGGGATAGTAGTAGTAGTATTTTTTTTTATATTAGAAATGCCCGTCAAGAGATACGGTTCTACCAAGCATATGTTGATGGAGCAGGGATAATACTAATTTTATTGCGTGGTACACAGCAGCAGCAAGGCCAGATTGTGTAGAGACAGTTCTTGTTGTTTTGGCAAATATCCCAAAAGAAGTTGGTTCCTGTGAACTTATCTGTGACCAATGGTGATATATGCTTTATTTTAGAAAACTGAGATCACCGGAGAGCATAATTTGTCTGACTCCGCATCTACATTTATACGCAAATACTGCATATAGAAGTATCTTAGGCTGTTGTACTCCCGTAGTAGCTTTATAGAAGTCACAAGTAAAGGAAAGACAATTACAGAAACAGAAGGCTTTTCCTTGAACCATGAGCAGAAAGTGTATTTTGATTCCCCTGACCAGGCTTGATAACTATAACTAGTACTCAATTACTGCAGTTTTCTCTGAATGTGTACTCAACGCTTTCTCTGAATGTGTACTGAACGCTGAACATTGGTCTCTCTGTTACAGAATAGTTGAGAATGGCTGACGAGGATATTCAGCCTATTGTATGCGACAATGGCACTGGAATGGTCAAGGTTGTTATCTCAAAAGTCTTTTCAACAAAGCAACTCTACTCCTGTGACCTAATTGTTCTTCAACTCCTTAATATTTACAGGCCGGTTTTGCTGGTGATGATGCACCAAGAGCTGTCTTCCCCAGCATTATTGGAAGACCACGTCATACCGGTGTCATGGTTGGCATGGGCCAAAAGGATGCCTATGTAGGTGATGAGGCTCAGGCCAAGAGAGGCATCCTGACACTGAAGTACCCGATTGAGCATGGCATTGTCAACAACTGGGATGACATGGAGAAAATCTGGCATCACACCTTCTACAACGAGCTCCGTGTTGCGCCTGAAGATCACCCTGTACTGCTGACCGAGGCCCCTCTCAACCCCAAGGCCAACAGAGAGAAAATGACACAGATTATGTTTGAAACCTTTGAATGCCCAGCAATGTATGTTGCTATCCAGGCTGTTCTTTCCTTGTATGCTAGTGGGCGAACAACCGGTAAGATAGTTGCCGCCTCAGAAATAGTAAATGCACTACAAATATCATACGGTAATCCTGACAAACCTCTTTCTCAAATATCTGTGTGCAGGTATTGTGATGGACTCTGGTGATGGTGTGAGCCACACAGTTCCAATCTATGAAGGATACACACTTCCTCATGCTATTCTCCGTTTGGATCTTGCGGGGCGTGACCTCACCGACCACCTAATGAAGATCCTCACAGAGAGAGGGTACTCCCTCACTACGAGCGCTGAGCGGGAAATTGTCAGGGACATAAAGGAGAAGCTCGCCTATGTTGCCCTTGATTATGAACAGGAGCTGGAAACTGCCAGGAGCAGCTCCTCTGTTGAGAAGAGCTACGAGATGCCTGATGGTCAGGTAATCACCATTGGGTCAGAAAGGTTCAGGTGCCCCGAGGTGCTGTTCCAGCCATCTCTTGTTGGTATGGAATCGCCTGGCGTACATGAAGCCACATACAACTCCATCATGAAGTGCGATGTTGATATAAGGAAGGATTTGTATGGTAATGTTGTCCTCAGTGGAGGATCTACCATGTTCCCTGGGATTGCCGATCGTATGAACAAGGAGATCACGTCCCTGGCCCCTAGTAGCATGAAGGTTAAAGTGATTGCACCACCTGAAAGGAAGTACAGTGTCTGGATTGGTGGCTCTATTTTGGCTTCTCTCAGCACTTTTCAGCAGGTAGGCTTTTTTCTTCATTACTTCCTTTTTTATATAAGTAGTAGGCTTTTATCATTCAATTATTCATGAGAACTTACAGCAGCCTTGACCATGTGGGTTTTTTTGCAGTTAAAGTTGAAATAACCCATTATATATACCAACTCAATTTAGGTTAAACTTGCAGGGTATGCACTTCTCTTTTCTGAGAAATGCAATTGGAATACAAATATATTCATGATTTAGTCAATTACTCCAGTTGTCGAGCATAGACGATCAACTTCTCTTCATAGGCACTGCACATGTTGCTCCATCCTCCATGTGGTTGTTTAATCAGTAGACATATATTTCAGTTGGATAGTAACATCTTTTTGAGGAAATGAAAAGATTTAAGGCCTTTTTCTTCACAATAGATACAAGTGGTTTGTGGAAATGGAATTACTAGTGTGATAGCACTGGGCATTTTTCTTGCATTGCCATTACTTCCACTTGTTTTTTTCATTCCATTTTCAACTCTTTGACAATCGGTAACTGTGTTGGCAGATGTGGATCTCCAAGGGAGAGTATGATGAAACCGGTCCAGGCATTGTCCACATGAAGTGCTTCTAAGTTTTTTTGTTAGTTTTCCAAAAAAAAAAAGTTTCTGGGGAAGTTCGACATAGTTCGTATATCGTAAGGCGCTACCGGCTCCTGTGAACCAATACATGATACTGCCATGATAAGGGTTATAAGCAGTCAATCAGAGTAAGCAGAAATATCAGTAGCAGTGACTCCGATTCGTTACCTGCTGTATGAAATGGGTCACACTTGTATATTCGTTACCGCGCCGTACTGGTGTAACGTGTTGCCTCAGAGTTTGTCTTTAGCTGGTTCCGTTCTAAAAATAAGTACTGTTTTTGGTTGGCTGCAAGTCATTTTGAACTTTGGTTACAAATTATTTTATGTTGTGCTTGACTATTTTAAATTTTTATTTAATGTTTGTTTTTTTCATAGTTGCAAAATGATACAAGTGGCGTGTAGAGTTTTGATATATGGCTCTGTTTCCTAGAGCTCTAGCACTAGATGGAAATATGTGGATTTCTTACAACCGATCATAGGTAGCTCTAGAAAATATTGGATCCGTAAGTATGTCATGTGCACTTATATGATCAATTTTGTTTATAATTAGATTAATAAAAATATTCAAACCACTTTAATTTAGTCTATTAACTACGGGTCTGATTGGTCGTATGCACAACTCTTCTCCAGGCTTCCATGATGCAAACTGGATTTGATTTGTTGCAGCCATGAGGAACGTCTATGTTAAGAGCGCAAGAATCATGGATTTATTTGAAAAACTCTGCTTTGGCTGTTGTTGATCTTCGAAATTCAAAAGGAAAAGCGACGAGTGGGGCAGCATTTTTTTAAAATTACACAGTACATCGTATGCACACAACACACACGTATACTTACTTCTATGAACATACGTACGTAAATCCTACCCCTATGAGCACCTCCATAGGCAACAATTGATTGGTGTGCAAATTATGTTAATCTTATTGCTTTTTCTCTTCATTGGAGTAAAAAAGACTTTTTGGTAAATTGAGTTAGCTGTACATGTGCTAATTCGCCTGTTTGTAGGACTTAAAATTGTCTGAAGTGTAGCGCTGTATGTCTGAAATGTTACTGGGAACTTGCTATGTATGTGTAGGACTCAATTCGGCTGTATATGTTGCTGGCAGCTTGTGGTAATAGAAAGCCTAGGAACACCACTTGTGAAGTCAAGCTAGAGATGGGTTAAGTTAAGAGGGGTGAGATATACGTGAGGTAACCCAAAACACCGCTTGTGCGGTCAACCAAACACACATATTTGCACTCTTCGATGCCTAGGCATGGAAACCAATCACGTGCCCAACAGTATACATCTATGTATCCGGTCCAACCAAACAACTGTAAGTTGCATGTAAGGATACGTTGCATAGGGTCTACATGCTATGCAAGTTTGTACGAGCAACCAATCAGACCCTCCAGACAGTCCCATAGTACCCATAGAAAATAAGGGCCAAGACAATACTTACCTATTTATGTTTTATCCTTCTATAAATTTTTAAAGCTATAGTTTATTTTAAGAAGGCTATAACATCCACAATATACAAGCTAATGTTGGCAATAATATGACAATCTCTTATTAAGTATTTATCAAGTTTAAAATACAATCTTCATAGATTTTTTCAACTATTGCAAAGCATGAACATATTTAATTATAAAATATATCATAATTTTAATTTCATATTATCTATTCGTTTGTATAGTTCAATATCGAGTTCCGATGACTTTCTTTGTGTACCCATAAAATTTTGTAATTTTATTTTTGAATATAAATAGTTAGCAGGAGTTAGTTGCCGACATGTCAAGATCAACCGGTGTCGGGGACCGAATAGTGGGGTACCCAAAGAGGTGGAACTAATAACCATCAAACACTGATGCTTCCAAACAGACGAGAGCGCATCTACACTTCCTGCCCATACGACCGAAGATTGGCTGCGCCTCGCCCGACCCCTGAGGGCTGGCTCCGCCTCGCTCAACGTCTAGGGGTGGCTCCGCCTCGCCCGCCGTCGACGTCCGTGGGCGAGCTCGCCTCGACCGATGTCGAGAAGCGGCTCGCCTCGCCCGACGGTGAGGCAGCTCACGCCTCGCCCGGCGTCCCGAGACGAGCTCCGCTCGTCGGGGCTGGCTCCGCCTCGCCCGACGTCCGGAGCCGGCTGGCCTCGCCCGACGTCAGGAGGGCTGGCTCCGCCTCGCCCGGCGGAGGGAGGCTCGCCTCGCCCTACATCCGGGGCGAGCTCGCCTGTAGCGCCTAACGCCTCGTAGCGTCAGAGGTAGGCTCCGTCTCGCCCGATGTCTCGAGGCTAGCTCCGCGCGCCCGGACGCCCGGAGTCCGGCGAGCTCCGCTTAGCGTCGAAGGCGCCGCTTCGCCTACGTGCCTGCTCGCTCCTTCATAATGACGAACACAGGGTAAGACAGGACACTCAGGTCAACCGCAGTACCAAGGACCATACCCTGCACGCCTGCAAGAAAGTACCACCAGGATATGACAGGATGGGCGCTTTAAGCCCTTCCAGGCATGACAAAGCTCGAACAGTGTTGTAGGCGCCGACTTTTGCCTTACAGTGTTGTGGGCGCCGCCATTAGCCCTCGGACGTGGATACTGACATAAGCATATGACAACCACTACGATCTAGGAGGGGACTCACATCATCTACAGTAACCAACGTATGGTCACTTCCCCATCTGCTCCCCATAGGGTCACGGCTCGGCACCCCGGTGCGCCGCGCTGCCCGCTGGGGCAGGATGGGACGTAACCACTTGCTGAACGAAGCCTGAGCACGACCTATCAAGATCAGCGAACGTGCTATCCCTGGCACCGTCTGCCACATCAGCGGGGCTGGCTCAGAGGAAAAGGAAGACCCGGCACCTTCAAAGGACCTTCTTGGCCTCTGATTTTCTTCTTTCTCCCAACTGTAACCCCTGCTCCCCCTTGATCTATAAAAGGGAAGGCGGGGCACCCCACTAAGGGGGGAGGGGCGATTCCACACATAACACATCACATAACACACAACCAAACAGCAACCGAGCTCTTGGCATCCTTTCGACCTTTCCATCAGAGACTTGGGACCTGTCCCTCTCTCGACCATTTGTACCCCCTACTATGAACCTTTCTCAGTACTAATAACACGAGCAGCAGCAAACTGGACGTAGAAACATTATGTCCAAACTAGTATAAACCTTGTGTCCTTTAGTACACCATCTAGGCCTAACGCGCAACAAATATAAATTTACTAGTTGGTGTTTATTCGAAACACCGATAGTTGGCGCACCAGGTAGAGGACCTTTGCGCGTTCCGACGATAAACATCAGGCCACGGATGGCTAGCCATGGTATCAGCTGGGTCCCAGGCACACACGTGCGTTTCGAGAGCCTAGACTTCATCATCACGGTGGGGGGAGAGTTAGCATTGGCTCACACTGCCATCCAATCTCTCCCCTCCATCGGCCTCAACCACGAGAGGCTTGAGCGCCACCGCCTCACCCTTTCCGACGCCAACGACACGGCACGATTTTTCGAAGGAGGGTCCCTCTGTCTAGAACACCACATACAGAGCGCCCCTACGCGCTTCCGTTCGGTCTCTGCAACACTGCGGCAACCATTAGCCACCTTGTGGCACGACGCATGTTTCTACCACCCGCGAACAACGAGTTCGTGGGGGTAATCGAACACGTCACGGAATCTCTCCACAACATCCTCACAGAGGAGCTAGGGTCGTCCTCTGGCTCTGACTCTAGTAGGGGGAGCCATCACCCCTCTCGAGAATGCTTCATGATGGGTACCCCTGAGGGACACATCGAAAGCATCCCCACGGAGGAGGCTACCCCGGTGGGCAACCTCGGCGATGAAACCGAAGGGGAGATAGCGGCCCCACCTTGCATGGGGGTGGAGCAGATGAAAGCCCAAAAGAGAGAGATCGAGGAAGCTGGAATCCAGCTTGTGCAGGAGTGCATGGAGCTTGATCAAGAGATCGAACGCCGTGGAGACGGTGGGCGCGCACGTGCCATGTCCCGCGATGTAAATCGGAGGATCATCACCGACAATGAAGCCCTTCCTCGCTTCGCTCGGGCAAGCCAAAACATCGCCACCGCGATAGCCTTGCTCCATGGCCTTCTAGAGGCCGTGGCGCCCGAGGATCGTCAGGCCCACCACGAGATTCACATGCTACTCGAGCGTGCTGCGGCGTGGTAGGCTGAGAGCTCGCTGTCTCGATGACGCGAGCTCAACTCCAGTCAGTGCACAACCTCGGCGTGCACCGCCAAGGACGCGTCAGTCCACCAGACACCACCGGGCGGCAGGCAACGCGCCGTGGTCCTGGTGTATCAGCGTCTCGACCGCAACCGCGACACACGTAGCCCTCTCGACGCCCGCAGATGCACCTACGATGACCCAAGAGAAGGAGCCCGCCATGGCTATCATCCTCGTCACGGTGGACGCTACGACAGCGACGAGGACCGGGCCCTCAGGCCTTCGGCCGGCACATCCTCAACACTGCTTTCCCGCCAAGGTACCGATCACCTACCAATATCCCAAAGTACTTTGGGGAGACAAACCCCGGACTTTGGCTCGAAGACTATCGACTTGCCTGCCAAGCCGGTGGTGCGGATAATGACGACTTCATTATCCGCAACCTTTCACTGTTCTTAGCTGATTCGGCATGAGCGTGGTTGGAACACCTGCCGCCCAACACGATCTAGAGTTGGACAGATCTGAAGGAGATCTTTGTGGGGAACTTCCATGGCACATACAAGCGCCTTGGGAACCCATGGGACCTCAAGAACTGCCATTAAAAGGCCGGAGAGACCCTCTGTGGGTACATCCGGTGGTTCTCCCGATAGTGCAACGAGCTCCCTAACATCGCCGACGCCGACGTTATAGGAGCCTTCCTGTTCGGGACTACCTGTGAGTCTTTGGTTCATAAGCTGGGACGCAAGGGCCCGTAAACCACCAAGGAACTCCTAGACATCGCCATCAGCCACGCCTCAGGAGAAGAGGCGGTCGGAGCAATCTTCGGCTCGAGGGCA